TGTGCGTCTGTATCCTATGTAATTGTGGAATCGTCTCCTCGAACTAGAAACTTCAGTTTTTTCCACCATCCCTCCTCTCAACTTTATGCACCAACATAACCGGACATTCCAGAAACAGCGCTTGTGTGTAGTGCTTTTTCCATATATGCATACGCACTTGAGCTGCATCATTTTTCTAACAGCCCTCCGCGTCTATCCATTTTTATTGTTCGTTCGCGGTCTGGATGGTAGGCTATTGGAAAGTGCCTGAAATATTCGTTGTGTCTTGGTGAATTCTTATGCTATGCATAGGCTAGCATAATGAAGTTTGAATTTGCGTTCAAATGAGAATTTTTCTGCTTTTCGTTGATCGAGAAGCGAATGTTTTACTCAGAAAATGATGCTGGAGATAAACTCCGCTTTTAGGCAGTTAGCTTCATTTACAGGCAAATCTTGCTTTCGTATGCATTTTATCTCGCTATTTTGACAAACAGAGCGAGCAATCGAAATTTTCAGCTCAGCCTGCTAAACCTCTAACGATTTTATTGCTACGTTGGCTTGTTTGATGTCATTACACTAATCTACTCGTTGATCACCTGCTACTTTGCCCATCGAGTTATGAGGCAATGAGATTAGCGCTTTCTCGCTCGTGAGCTCTGCACATGCTAATGGAAAGCCATAACTTTGGCATTGAAAGGAAGTTTATGGCTGCAGTAATCATTTTGTCTCAAATTTCATTTGTTCATTTTGTGGTGTAATGTATCACGTATGCACTTGCATGTAGTTTATTGCTGCTAGATCAATTCCAGCAAATAGGATCTGTTTTTGGTTTCTCAAAATATCTCGTTGAACCGTTGAAACTATGTCTAGGCAAATATGAATACTTGGACTTCTTTTGTGGATATTAATTTTGAGGCTCGAAGTAAGACATTGCTCGAACTGCAGTTCACAAGATTTATTTATGGTTAGAGATTCAATTCTGAAGTCTTGCCCAATACCGTATGAGACTAATTGGTGCGCTTACAAAAAGTACGGTACTGGGCTAGGGCTTGGAGTTGAAGCTTCCTAGACGAGTTACTTGCTTGAGCTTCCCGCCATGCAGTGATTCAAGACATCTTACTCAACTTCCACCTAAGAAACCCTTCCAGACATATTTCTGAGCACTTCTCATGTTGATGATATTATAATATGTAGTACATGATATTAAGACTGCGATATCCTTGTTTTGAAGTAAGCAGATTTGGCCCATTGTTTTTCTCATCGAATCAGATGTACTCGCTTCCTTCTTGCATCATTGAACCATAGCGCAAACAACTCTTCTTACCAGATTGGATCTTGATAAATTGGCTAGTAAATGTCTCCCAAATCCCAAATTCGGCTTGATTTGAGCGAAATTGTTAAGAGCCTTGCATAGCGCTTTTCTATCTTTACCACAATTTGTCGCGTTGGCCTTATGGCTACATACTTGGCTAATTTTAGATTATAATATTCTGCAGCCTTTGGAAGTGATTTTCATCTTGACTGTTATGTTTGAACATTAGTGTGGGCAAGAAAATATGCCAGGAATTCTGGCTTGTGTGCAATACTTTGAAAAAATTCGTAAAAGTTCATTTCCTTGACCTGTTTAGTGTTTGAGAGTGAAATTTCACGCTCTAATGGTCCCTTGGATTGTTGTGGTAACGAGCATATAGTAAAAAGAATTTCGTATGGCTTCTTTTTTTCTGCGCGAACTTTATCAGTCCTTTTGCCTCCTTCCTATCTTTTTCGCCTTCGCGTATGCTGCATTTTCGAGGTGTTAAAAATCGCGGCGGCTTACATTCTCTGTTCGTATAGCAACTCAACATACCTAAACTGACAACTTTTTTGCATTATTTATCCTGCGTTTTCTATGAGACCATTCCTAGGATAGAGGGCATTGAACGCACGAATTGTTCTTATGATCTCATTTATGAGGCTACTTTGTGGAATAGCACGTTGCAACGAGCCACTTTAGCGATATTGGTAGTTTTTTGCCAATCTTCTGGTAGTTTCTGCCATTGCTCTGATTTCGGGACAAATCGCTGCAAATTTTCTACATGGAATTTTTTGAGATTGTTTATAGATTTTTAGGATGGTTTTTGAATATTCAAAATACGATGTGTTTATCTCCTTACTGGACATTTGTGGTTTCTTCAGTAACTGAGCTCGGACCTTGCTGTGTTTTGTTTTGTTCAAATTCTGTGATGAGTGTTGCCCTTTTACGTCTGTACTTTTGAGAAATATCTTGAAATCTTTTAATCCTGAGATTTGCTCTGGCATTGCGATGATCTAATGCACAACAACCATTACATGAATTCAATCTTTTCACAATTGTCCGTTTTTTGAAATGTAGCGCTTTTTACAATTGTTGATCTGTCAGTAAACTCAAGACAAAAGAGAGATAGAGTTTTAATTTCAAAAAATGCACTACTGGCATTCAGGAGATCACTTACTCAATTTGTGTTAGTAATAGATTAGTCATATGTGAACTGTGATAGGCGAATAATAAAAATTAGAAATGTGATACAACTTTTGGATTTTCTGAAGTGACGTGAAAAGAACTTTTTTGTTCCGGAAAAGCTTGAATGTCTTACCTACTATTTACTATGGCTATAATCTCATCTGCTGCGCTATATCTCAAGATCCGTGGGAGAAAGCGTTACTAAGCATCAGTGTCAATATCTCTTACTACCGTGATATATTGTTGTGGATATTTCTTCCTTGAGTGTGATGCTCTGCTTTTGATGTGTAGGGTTTCCCTTTTTAAGGAGAAATCCTGTTGATAAGTATCAGCTCGAAATTTTTGCTCAATAAGCGTAGGATTAGGCCTTTCTTGCAGCTTTCCGTCACTAATTCTGTGAGTTTTTGCCAAGCTTTCAGCTTAGAAACCTTTTTTTACAGATTTAAAGCTTTCCTTATTTGATCAACAGTTAGTCCAGCACGAAATTAATAAGCTTATGCTGCGGAGGAAATATGAGCAGTTTTCCGCAAAAATAATTCTGATGTGTTTTTATCGAGTAGGCCTATAATCCTGCATCTGCCAATGTGAAGCTCACGATTACAAGCTTCCAACTTCAGATTTTTTCTCTTACTCCTTACTTCTCGTGAGCAAGTCTCTTGGAGTGTTTTTCTAGAATGTGCTCTACTGCTTCCTCCTTTTTTATGCCGTCCTGTCAGCGGATGTCAATATCCGAGCGATTCGATTAATTAATCCTATATGAATTCCTGGCATGTGACATCTGCAACTGTTGAGAAATTGATGTTTTTAGAGCAAAGAATAGATAATTGGATCTTGTCAATGGCACAAAAAATGTAGTTTATGTCACTGTTTCGTTTTCTCATTAGTATTAGGTGGTCCATTGAGTATTGCAACATAATTCTAAAAAATCCTTATCTTCTCTAACCTCCAAAGTTCGCTTGTTTTGCTTCATTTGAAGACAAAAAAATCATGCTCTTTCCAGCACAAAGGCTCTCAAACTTTTTATCTCAAAATTTCTATCTCATTCGGAATAAATTTTCATTATACCAAAATACAGCAGATGACGTACACAATTAGATTTTAATGTGTTTTGTCTGGGAAATATATTATGAAAAAACTTATGATTTATTTTCCAAGACGATTTTTTGTGCAAGACGTATAGGACAACCTAACCGTTTCTCGCATGAAATTGATTTGTAACAAATTTATCCTTGAATTTTGTGAAATCTAGTTCTAGGAAGTGATGAGTAGATGAATTTTTTTCAGAAAATTTTGATAAAGCTCTAATTTTTTGCTTCGACTATGCGGAAATCTTGTTCGAAGAAGATTCCTGTCAGAATTAGTTGTTTTGGTCGTATCTGTTATTAAAGTGGTTTTCGAGCTAGATCTCGCACTCTAAATTCATTTCAAGTTGATTCATTTTGCCTTCCTTTTCTAGTGTTGTTCTTTTCCCCTCGAGTTTTGTACTCTCAAGTATTTATTGCAGTTCTAGGTTCTAGTAAGTCTACCGAGCACGCCACAATCCCACCTGTACTAAGAGATGACCCTAACTCTACCAGTGATCTCCTTCGACTCCGACGCCGATGATGTTTCACCCCGAGTCACCCGCAGAGAACTAGCTCTCGACCATGATTTATTTGCACCAACTAGCAGCTCTCCGTCCTCCGGACCTCCATCGTTCCGCCTTGGTTCACCCCAGTCACCATCTTTTGCGCGAGATATCGCACTAATTCGACATGCGAGCTTGAGAGTGAAGGAGCAGTTGAAGTCGAGACTGAGCGAACCGATCAAAGAACAATTAAGTCGTTCGTTCTCGAAGTTGTGCGCGTCAAAGGATGATCTGAAGAAAGATCCGTTTGGTAGGGGTTGTTGATTTGTGCTCTACCAGAAAATGTGCTCAAATATTCTGTTTGGTTTGGGGGAGGAGGGGGAGGGGGAGGGTTTTAGAATTCGCAAGAGAAATATGAGTTATTTATATGATTTTTCTGCGATCGTCGAAATATGTAATGCATTTGCATATATGATTATCTTCTTCTTTTCGAGCTAATATATGTTGCATACTAATGTATTCACAGTTGAAATGGTAAGATTATTCTGTGCTATTTTTTAACTCGACTTTAGCATTAAATCAGGCTCTTGTATTCGTGTGATTACTTCTGTTGTCAAATTTGGTTTGGAAAATCACTTAGTTTTCTAGTCTTGGTAAAAGACTTTCAGTTTTTTACCTTAATCGGAAACAGTTTTAGATTTGGAGACATGTGCAGAAATCAGATTATCTAATAAACCAGTGCACCGTTACGAAATAAAGACCACAAGATCTGACTTATCACTTCTGATCTGAAAAAAAGTAAATGTCTGATATCACGATAAAAATTGAAAAGTCAAGCGTCTGTGTGAGTGCTTTTCTAAAAATTACATTGGTGGATTAGGGGGAGCATATTCAGGAGGAAAGAGAAAGACTGGAAGTTTTTTCAACATTTAATCGAAAAAGCATTGTCAACATCCCTGTGAAGATTTGTTTCAGCAGATGAGCAAACGTCCAGCAGCGAAGAAGAGGATGATCCAGAGTTGAAAGAATTAGAAGAAAGAGACAATATAGTCTTGAAGTATGAAAAGGTAAGACAAAGCCAAGCGATTTTTTTCTTTTCTGTTATGGGGTCAAGAATGTGCAGCGTAAGGAGGTCACTCGCATTCATAACATCACATTGACAATGCTCTATTGAACATCAATGTCATCAAAAACGCTTAAAATGCTTTTGTATAGGGCCCCGAATCGAAGGACATCGACCCTTGGGAGAATCCAGAGTTTGACGTCTATGCGAAGATGGATCGCTTTGGATTTGTGCAGTAAGTTTTTGTTTTTTCCGGATGTTAACTGGCTTGATTTAATGTGAGTTGGGTTTTTCTTTTCAGCAAAGACGCCAACGAAGCTACCGAAGAAGAACGTGCAAATCGGCGAAGAGTAGAAAAAGAAATAAGACGAGTGAATAAATGGCTAGCAATGGAAGCAGTTAGTTTCTAATATTTTTTGTATCTTCATTATAATTCTTTTGATGTTTCATATGCATTCATTTTCTTTTGGAAATGTGGAAATGAGGGTAATGCCATTTTTAAGCATGTTTAATATTTTCTAATTTTTTTGCCATAACATCCTGATTTGCTTGATGTACGAGAGGGTTATGCATGGTTAGATTGTTTTCCGTTTTATCCATTTTGTTTTATTAGGCATGGAAGAAGGGTCGAATACCTAAGAAGCTGGAAGAAAGAACGTGGAAGGGAATCCCGGAGAAATTGCGCATGACGGTAAGTGGGGGTTTCAATATTTTTCCTTACTTATGCTTTCGTGATAATTTTTATCGCTGAGAATTTTCTCTTATTAGCGGTGGAATTTTTAATTGTTGCTTTAAAAGGTCTATATTTTCGAAGCTTTTTTTGATTTGAATTTGTGATGTTTCTTTGTAGATCTGGCCTCGTTTACTTGGTGCTTATGATATGAAGGAAGCACGACCGGATGTCTATTATCAATTACTAATGAGAGCTCGACTTGTATCAAAAGATATCAAACAAATTGATCTCGATATAAACAGAACCTATAGGGACCATATATCATTTCGTAGACGTTACGACGTCAAGTAAGTTACGATACTTTACTTATGTTTCTTATAAGGGATCACGGTATTTTAGACAACAATCTCTACTTAATGTTCTCGCTGCATATTCTATGTACAATACGGAAGTTGGTTACTGTCAAGGTAATGAAATAATATATAAAAATAACAAATTGTTTGCTAGAAGATTATGATTTTGTATTACAGGGATGAGCCAAATTGCTGCTTTGTTTTTGATGTATCTAGATGAGGAAGACACTTTTTGGTGTATACATGCGTTGATGGTGGGGAAAAAGCATACTATGCATGGTAAGTGCAATTTATTATGATCCATTGCACCATTTCTTTCTTTATCATTTATTTTCTTATTCTGTTTTAGGATTCTTTGTTCCCGGTTTTCCTAAATTGTCTCGGTTCGAAGCTCATTTCAAAAAGGTGCTCAAAAAGTATCGACCACGGGTATACAAGCATTTGGTGGGTTTTGCTGTGGTTTTTCACAGTCAGTGATCTTCTTTGCATTTTAATTGTTCATTTCATTTCAGGAAAAGAATGATATTCCTTATATTTACCTCACCAAATGGTGGTTTGGTTGTTTTCTGGATCGGGTACCGTTTTCATTAGCATTGAGGTGAGCTTATCTTCTTATCAAATTACTTTTTTTGCCGTTATATGGCTTTTTTGGTTTTGCTGTTTTTTTTTCAAAGTAATATCGTAGTTCTGTTTTTTTAACCTTTTTTTGTGACAGCATAGTACAGAATGTTTTTGTTCTCGAACTTATTACTTTTGAATACTGAGTTTTTTGGTCAAATTCTGTCTCTTGCAGATTATGGGATGTTTACATACTTGAAGGAGATCCAATCTTGCTAGCTATGGCATTGAATATAATGAAAATGCATGAGAGTAAGTTTTCTGGATGCTTCTTTTACCCCTCAATCATCGTATTTTATTTCAGAATCCATAAGAAAGCTGCAAATGGAAACTTTTATGGATTTTATACAGAACACAATCGCCAACAATTTTGGTTATTCGGACGATGAGACCATGTATTCGTTGAGGGAGGTTCTGAGCAGGTTGAAGGTAGATTTTAATGAAATTCCTTTGCTCTTCTGTTTTTCAATATATTTTTTACATCAACAACTTTTTAGAGTGATGGTCTTCACTATCCACCACCACCAAAACCTGATGATCTCCCAGAAGTTCCAACGAAAGCACTTGGCCCTATACTGTCCAAGCCGATCTCTTCTATTCGAGAAGAACAGGAAGAGATCAAATCGCGGAGAAGTCATGCAGCTTGTGAGTGGCAAGAATTTGATAGTGCATTTGACGAAGTGTACGAGTTCTACTATGAATACTACGTTAACAAAGATGTCGATAGTGATAGTGATGAAATAGGAGATATAGCTACGCTAAGCATTCTTTGAAGAGATATTTGGAGAATGTTTTGTGAAAGAGAAGAGTTTATAAATGGTGCTAAATGTAACTGTGTCAGTCGCAGTGTCTCCGTGATCAGCATATCGCCTTTGCGAGTATCCCGCAGCGTTCGTGGCCTTTGGCTCGAGCAGTCAAAACGGCCTTACTGATCGGATAGCACGCGAGACTCTCGCGCTGTGGATGCTTGACATCGGGCATAGAACACTGCAATTGAGACAAGCTTTACTTAACTCGCACTCTTCGCTTTTTCGCCTTATGGTTCCAAAACAAATGTACTCTCAAACCTAGATTGAAACCTTTCAAAATCGAACAGACTACTTACGCAATTGCACATAGTAACAAAGCCGAATAAATACTGGGAATAGTATGGTGCTCATAAGTTGATCTAAAAATAAAAACCTAGGAATCTTTTCTAGAGACTGTTAAAGCCAACCTAGAAATTTGCATGTGCTTTCCGTTGTTTTCATTGCCTGATCTGTGAATGTTGTGAGCTTTGTGTTGTGCTCCTTGGTTCTTGCTTGCTTGATCTGTTTGCTTGTGTGATTTGCTTGCTACCTGCTTCCTTCCTTTGTATATTTTCGTCGAAGAATTGCATGCTTATCCTACTAGTTGAATAAATTGCTAGCTCAGATAATCATGTGTGGATGTTATATGTTAGAAGGGTTAGTTTTATACTGTCAGTTATTTCTGGGTTGCATCTTACCGACTGGTTCTATTGAAGGAGAATTTAGCATTAACGCAATATAACCGTGACCTGTATGTCCAAATAGGCACCGCTCAATTCGTGAAGAAGACGAGCGCCAGTAGCAGCTTCCGCGGACTTCTGATTCTTTGGCCTTTGTTGCAAACCACGTGAAGGCTAGTAGCCCACGAATTCGGATATGGGTGGAATTCGTTCCTCTACATTGATTTGCATTTTTCCTGAGTGCATTTCTGGAAATTGCCTGGAATCTGTACTTTGAGCTTTCATGTCCGATGTCGCATTGCCCATGTGAAGGCTTTCATTTGCAAATGCTTTGGTTCTGAGAACTTGGTGCTGAGCGAGTCTCAGATGTGCAGCAAATTTGTGTTCTGCCGCACCAGGCGACCTTCATTAGAGACTTGAAAGAATTTCGTACCTTTTGCACACATGTGTCTATACCAGTGGCGGTCCGAGAAATTTTTTTCGGAGGGGGGGGAGGCGCGACAGAAATTTTTTTCTGAAGAAGGTGCGTGGCGTTAGCCACGCACTCCGAAAAAATTTTTGGGGTGCTTCTCAAAATTTTTGCGGGTCCCCGACCCCTAAAGTCTGAAAAAAGGGGGCGTGGCTGACGCCACGCCCCCGAAAATTTTTTTTATAAGGCTAAAATGCATTTTAAAAAATTTTAAAAATTATTTTAATTATTTTCAAGTGCAAACAAGTCGTTTGCACATTTTTACAACCCTTATAGGTAAGTTTCAAAAATTTCGCGACCCATTCTCGGGGGGGGGGGGCGCCCCCCCCCCTCGGTCCGCCACTGGTCTATACCAATGTAACACCGCCAGAGTGAAGTAAAACTGAACTTTTGCATTAAAGGCAACGGCTCGGCAGAATGACAACGTTAGTATTCATCGTTTTTGGTTCTTCTGGATGAGCTAAGTCTAAGATGCTTTGCAGCCCTAAAAGATATCAATAACCCCCTTTTCCAGATGTGAAAAGTGCTTTTTGGGTGGACGGCGTATGCCTGCCCTCTAGAGCGCGATTGGCTCGCGAGTGGAGACACTGGCCACCGTACCCACGAGCCAATGGCACTTTAGAGGCAGACATACGCCGTCCGCCCAAATAGCGTTTTTTGAGTCTGGTTATTGATATTTTTTGAAGCTGCAACACATTCTTGGACTTAGCTCATCCAGGGGAACCGAGAACGATGAATATCACAAAGTAGTCATTCTGACGAGCAGCTGCCTTCATGGCATTTGCGTAAGTATTGGAAAGATACTATATGACAGCGTAATTTTGAGTTAACAAAGCTATGAAAGTAGCTTCGCGGCGCTTTGTTTTTGATTTTAACTAAGCGATTTATTTTTAGAGAGGTGAGAACTTGTTAGAGTCACATGCAATATCTAAATTGACAGCTTTCATTTATTTTCGTAACACTTCATGATGTGTTCGGAATAGAAAAAATCACTGAAATTTAGGACTACACTCGCAACTTCTTATGAGTTTGTTAGAAATCGCAGAAACGATGTAATAAGATCTGCATGCTGTTAGAGAAACCATTAATTTTGTTTTCTTCCTATTACTTCTAATGTTTAAGTAATTGGATATTTGTTATTTGATATGCGCGATTGCACGCATTATGCATACAGAGTAGAGCCTTAAATACGAGGATTTCAAGTTTATTACTTGCTTGAATCAACCAGGAAGTCTTGTGATTGTGATTTAGCAAAAAGGAATATTTCCAATTTTTAAGAACAAACATTTACACCAAGTAAAGGCTACCATAACTTTTGATTTCTTACAGCTGTTGGGAGATCACCACATCCGCGGCGAAGCCGAAAACCAGTCGTTCATTCAAGAACACCTTCTGCACCTGGCACGAGGTTTCAAATTTTTGAAATCGTCATTTAGATTCTGTTCGCTCAAATTGGTTGGGTATAATCCTATCATTTAAGACTACCCTCTGATGCGCAAGCGTCTACCACCAGTCTTCATGAAAATAGACAACCTATACCAAATGGAAAGGAGATCCCATTCGAGGTTGGTGGTGGCTAGTTTGGTCCCAAATGACGTCACTGTGCAATCATCTTTTAGATTCCAACGCGACGAGTTCCTTCGTTCAAGAATCAGCACATTCCGCCACCTGATCCACGACAGAATCCTATGCCCACAAACGGTCATGGTTATATACGCCAAGTTGTTGCTGACAGGTGCGTCCTACACTCTTTATGCTATTCAGACTGACCTGGGTACCTGAACTTTCCATGTGGGAAACTATCGGCAGGCTTTACTTATGCCATTGCTCGAGTGGCACCACTCATTCGCGGCCGAGATATTCAAATCTGGACTCTTACCCAGTACCGTACTCACTTCAACCAGCTCCTTTTGAATACGGTATTGGACCAAAGCTTGAAAGTGTGTCTCTGAACTGCAACTGAATCACATGAGCTGCCGATTGGGCAATGTCTTAGTTGACGAACTATATATCAAAAAATTGTATTATACGTTTTTGTTTTTATCCTCTGAAAAAATTGTACATTTTTATTTTTACCCTTTGAAAAAACTGTACATTTTTGTTTTAGTGATGGCTTTGAACCAAGAAGACCAACATCAAGCGCAAGAACATCATCGATACGTGATGAACATACTGGCAGAATGGTTACGGTAGTCCGAGGTGATGACGATGAGTTCGACGACGGAACTCTTACGCGAAGGGACGTAGACAAATGGAGGGAGCAAAGAAGAACCCCATCTGATCGTGTCCATCAGACATCGAATAATGTCACCATAATTACGCTTGGCGATGACTCGGTCATCTAGAATAGAAAAGAGATAGGGATCCCTTGTGGCACAACTGCCCCGCCCACTTTTTGCACTGGCCATAGAGCGCCACGCCCCTGCTGCCATTGAGCCAATTATGTTCGTACAGGTAATTGATTAGATTAGGAAGGGTTTGCCCTGGTGTCAAAAATTCATGCATGGTGCTGTAAAAAGGGCTTTTATTGTTGGAGCTTAAAAATGATTTTTTCTAAGTCTATACTCGCAGACTATGTAATGCTTTGTGCCGAGCTGTTCTCCCCTCCCTCTTCCCCTCCCCTCTCTAGTTTTTTCTCTCTTACCAAAAGCACTTTAAGGTTGTTGCATCCAAGACCAAATTGGAGAACCAAAACATCATTTGTTTTTTTTCTGAATCCTTTGCCTTAGTGTGATTGCATCTCTGTAGTCCTTAGAGCGTGAGAAAAAAATTTTTCTCGAAGTTTTCTCCCTGGCTGTGATAATTTTTGTCTATTCATCTCTTGTACACCAAGAGATTTCCCGCTTTGGTGAGAGTTTAGTACTAGTGTTTTTAGTACAACCAGTTGTTTTTTGTGTCAATAGGTTCAATTTTATTGTTAGTTGTCGGCTGATTATTGATCATGTTCATGTATTTATGCATTGTTTGTTTGTATATACTATGCTTGATATATATAAATTGCATTGAGAAAATAAAAAATACGCATATTGCTCAGTGTTGGGAGATTACGGTAATTATGATTACCGTATTCGTATCTGGCTTACAATTAAGTAAGAACTGGCGCGTGGAGGTCGTAGTACAGCAAATTGTTCTGATAGTTGCCCTACTGTTGACTTTGGAGCATTACATCACTTGCGCGTTAGAATAAAATATGCGTAAATTTGAATAAAATCGATAGCACGGTGTGATAAATCTGTCCAGTTTTGACGAAAGGCTTCTCGCTTTCACTGAAACTACGAATGAAGAAAGTTATAGGACTTTTTGATGCAGCTTTACCTCCTAAATTCAAACTACGACTTCAAAGTAAGTTTACTCGATACATTTTTCCATATACTTCTCGAAGTTTTCACGCAGTGTTTGCTATGTTTTATTGCTCTAATTTCTTCCAAAATTACTTTTCTACATAAATGTTGATAACAGATAGTGTAAGACTTTATCAATGTTTTCGTTTTTGAGAGCACTTAGCGACAGCTACTGTGATTGCACAGATTTTTTGTAGCACTATCTGAAAGAGGAATGAACTTTTTAGGTGGCAACTTTATTTGAGTGGTCTTGTAGACTCTTGCTGCGAAATCTTAATTTTTCAAATTTTGAAGAATCTAAATAACAAAGTAGTTAATGGTTTAAGCTCATATCATCTACACACAAGGGAAGGAAGGTTAGCCGAAGTGGTCTTTCAATATGAGATATATACTACCTTGAAAGGTATAAAACGCTGATTTCAAATCTACCTTTCTTATCTGCTGCAGATTTCTGAGTAAGGAGTTGTGAAAGTTTTTGTGGGTGAAAATTCCAACGCATGACCGGTGCAAAAAAAAGTTGACTTTTCCAAGCTAATGAAGCAGCATTACGTACATGCGTTTGAAGTAGAAATATATGTTGCACAGAGCATCCGAAAATCAGTTAAAGCCCTAGGAAAAATGTTACGACTAGTTTCATTCTTGTTGCATATTCAGATTTTTGCTCACAATAACCTTCATAGCTCATCGCACAGAGACGCAGCAGATAAGAAAGATAGGGTTGGAATCAGCATCTTATACCCTTTAAAGCGATACCCATATCTTATCGAAGTGCCACTTCGACTAAACTTCCTTTCCTTGTTAGAGTTAGTTTTGTCGAGACGACTAGAATCTGAACAGAGTGGAAAACTTTCCTTAAAATTCAGCATTTATTTAATGTTTGTATTGTCTCGAATATAGTTGTCAATAAGGTGAAGAAAGTTTGTACTCGGTATCCCTATCTTGTTTATCAAAAAATCTGGAAGATTCAGCGATCATATCAAAATGACAAGCTGTCTTTAAAATATGACAGATTAAATTTTGATCTGGGGTTTAATGAATGCTATTTTTCTGTTCCAAAACCGTATAAGAAAGTAAATCCACGATGAATGCAGCTGATAAGTAAAAAAGCTGGAAAAATTCGAAAATCATGTTAGTTAGAATGAGTACACGTTTTGAACTCGAAAGGGAATTTGGCTTGATTGTTGCACTTATTATGCACAACGTCAGAGATTGCTTTTGTGGTTTTGCCGACATGATTATCATACACTCATCTCTTCAGTTTCGGTTGAGTAAAACGTTTTCTGTTGTTGTTGATGCTACCAGATCCTTTATGTAGCGAAAATCAAAAGTAGGTAAATTGTAAGTCGCTTTATTTTAAAGGCAAGCAGATGCTATCGGAATGTTTTCGATGAAAAGTATGTCGCAGCTGTATCTGGCGCAACATATTATCTCTTTATCTCGTCTCTTTTTTACCCTGTCTTTTTATTTACACGTCCTTTTCCATACGACCAGCTTTGAATGACTGTTTGGAGGACCTGTTCTCCTTGACTTTCTTTGTAAACAAAACTGGGCGAATATCCCTTTTCAAATAGCATGACACGCTTTCAGTGAAGTCAGAATACTTGAGGCAGCATATGACCCGTTATTTCCATCCACATTCTCCTCCACAGGCCATAAAATCGCAGTTTTGATGACTATTGCTTTCAGCAATTTATCGATTACGTGTGAATAATCGTGGAGAGCTATTAAAACCGCAAATTCAACCTTCCTTCTCTTCATATGTGAAGAGAATGTCGCTAAGACAAGTCGTTGCCGACAAACTTCTAAATGAAGTGATTTGTCCACTGAAGAAACCGGATGGAAGAGGTTTCAACGCTTTGGTCGTCGACAAACCGTCAATGCTCATGATCTCGGCTTGTTGCAAAATGCACGACATCATGGAAAGTAAGACTTTTTCGTTTTGTCATTTTTAGATTTCTTGTGCGATTAATACCGATTTTTTTCATCTATTCTTTTTTTTACCCTTTTTACTCTTCACTTCTGGCACGAAGTCTCCATTGTGTCATTTTTATTATATCTGTGTCAAGCACGTGCTCCCTTTTCCGTAAGCATTATCGACACGCTAGAGCTTCGCGCCACGTTCGCGTGGGTATGCTTGCGCATTCAAATTCGCTTCATCGAGCGGAGGTCCGCACGCGTTGCGCATGCGTAGTTCCTACGCGAAAGGGAGTACGTAGTTGACAGACCGTATTCCTTGTTTTTTAAGCTGATTTTCATATTTTACATTGATTATCTGAAGTTTGATTATTTTCTAAACTCCAACTGTATTTTCTAGATGGCATCACCATAGTCGAAGACTTAACAAAGCGAAGGGAGCCACTTCCTAGCCTAGAAGCAATCTATATCATAGAGCCGAGTAGTGAATCGGTGAGCAACTGATTTCTATCTTTTCATTTCTATTGTTTGATGAAGATTCTAGATCGACTGTCTTATTAGCGACTATGCTGGGCGAAATCAATATAAATGTGCCCATGTTTTCTTCACAGCAGCATGTCCCGAAGATCTTTTTTCGAAGCTCTCCCACAACTCAGTAGCTCATCATATCAAAACTTTGAAGGAAATCAATATCGGGTTTATTCCATACGAAAGTCAGGTATAAAAGACTTCATAATGTCCATTGTTCGACAGTCAGAAGGTATTTTATAGGTTTTCTCGTTGGGTTCCGATATGATCTTTTCCAAAAATCAGAATGATCTCGAACTAATTGCTGAAAAATTAGCGAGTGTTTGTGCTACACTGAAGGAGTACCCGACTATACGGTAATTACGGTATTTTTTACCGAGTTATTGCTACTTTTATAAAGGTAATTGTAACTTAGATATCGTGCCGAGTTCGAACTTAACCTCGACCTTGCCCAACTTGTCCAACAGAAATTGGACGCATACAAAGCAGATGATCCTGAAATGGGTGAAGGAGGTGGAAAAGCTAAAAGCCAGCTGCTAATAATAGGTAAGTGGTAATTAGGCCTTGCTTTTTTCTTCTTACATTCTTGTTTTCAAACGTTCTATATTTCTTCTCTATCGTCTTTACTTTTTGTTTAAACATTCTTTCTCTTCAGCCCGGACCCTTAGCTCCCACAATTTGTTATTCAGCTTTAGCCCCCCCCCCCCCCTTTAATGGTCTTTTGACCATTAATTTGGTAGCAAATAACTCAAATCAGTGCTTGTTCATTTTTGAGATCCGACAACAATTACACATTTTCCATTGAAAGTAAGAAATTGACCACATGTTTTGTATATATTCGATATATAACAAAAAGGCATTTTAATTCAAGACAAGGCAAATTCCCACCGGTATGCTGTCCAAATTCGCTTTTTGTGTTAGGTAGCGCTTAGGGGAAAAATACATATAGTTGATTCGTTGACGCACGGACTGGATATCATTGCGGAGCACGCGCCGCGAGCTAAAACGCTTGCCTCGATACAAATTCGCTATTGTACAACTCATACTCTCACGACCATTTAGCCGCGCCGCGCGTGGTCCGCAGCGTTTGAGCAGTCCGTGCGGCCAACGAATCAACGATACTTGCGGAACACGCAATGTTACATTGATTTGAAATTCATAGTATGTTGCTCTATTGTAAATTTATGTTGCGATTTACAGATCGCGGTTTTGACGCAATAACTCCGATTCTACATGAGCTGACCTTGCAAGCGATGTGCCACGACGTGCTCGATATCGAAAACGATGTCTATCATTACGAAACTGGCGGAAAGAATCAGGAAACTATTCTCGATGAAAACGATGAACTTTGGGTTGACACTCGCCACAAACACATAGCAGATGTATCGCAGGAGATTATTGCAGGACTGAAAAAGTTAGGGGACACTAAAGATGCCTCAAAAGCTGTTGCAAATGTTAAATCCATCAAGGATCTGTCCGACTTGATAAAGAAAATGCCGCAGCATCAGAAGGAGTTGCATAGGTTTACGAGCCAGTTTCATTTGGTGGAAGATTGTATGCATAAGTATCAGAATGGTGTGGATAAGCTGTGCAAAGTCGAGCAAGACATAGCAACCCAATTTGATGTAAATGGCGAAAAGGTGAAGGATCCGGTGAGGTTGATGGCACCGCTTTTGATAGATCCGGAGGTGAAGCTGGAGGATCGACTGAGGCTTGTTTTGCTCTATGTTTTGAGCCAAAATGGGGTCAGTGAAGAAAATCTTGATAAAATGCTACAACACGCTAATATTCCCATGAATGAGAGAGACACATTAACAAACTTGAGTTCCCTGGGAATAAACGTAATTAATGAATCGGGAAGGAGAACCCCAGCTCTTTCGAGAAGACAAAGGCCAAATGAGCAAGTTTACCAAACCTCCCGTTGGGTTCCGGTAATCAAGGATGTCATGGAAGATGCCACTGATGGTAAACTTGACTCAAGGAAATACCCATTTTTACCCAACAACCGTACAAATCAAGGCTTTGGTATAGCCAGATCTGCTCGCTATGGTCGATGGCACAAGGAGGCACCTGTTGGCCCAAGTGGACCAAAACTATTCATCTTTATTGTCGGAGGCCTTGCATACTCGGAAATGCGAGCCGCGTACGAAGTGACGGAAGCTATGAAGCCTTGGGAAGTTGTCATAGGCTCTGACCGCATTATTACCCCGGAACAGTTTATAAGAGATCTTCGACAGCTTCCCAGCGCTGAAGATTGCTCAGATCTGTTGAAAAAGCTTTATTTGAAATCAAGAGTAATTTCGAATGCGAATCTATAGAATGTAACAGTGGCGGTACTAGTTGAAGTCGCGTTATAAACCTTCATGTTGCCGTTTAAGGCAGTATCTAAACAAATCTCAGTACTTTCTTGTGGGAATTGCTTTGGGAGTTCTAAGTAACCCACTTCTTGAGCGACAGCTTATAAATTTCGTATTTGGGCGAGGAATCCAGCTTTATTCCAGACCGTACTTTTGAGCACCCATCGTCTTCCAGTACGGTCTGGGCAGAAGTTTGAAATTGGATTTCTCCGCCACTAATGCACCTTTTGAGCTTTCGCTTATTGTAGCGGCGTAGTTAAAGCCTCTCAGTCAAATAGCACATAGGAAATCCAGATATCATGTCTGTTTGGATACTGCCTTTGAGTCGTATGCATTTGCCACCAATCTACGCCACCACCGCTCGCAACTTAAAGTCTAACAAATGTGTGTTCAATCCCCATCAAAAGTATAGGTCCGCTTCTACTTTGAGCTTAATAAGAACAGCTTGCTCTTCTATGACAAGGCTTTAATGTGTGTGATCTACGTATCAGCTTTATATTGTTCTGTGGTTGTCTTTGTAGCCCCTATGCTTCTTCTAGCTAATAATTTGTTTATCTGTGATTCCGCTATTGTCATGTGTAACATATGGGTGTAATAAGAATCATTCTCTTAAACCCGCACTTATTCCCGATTTTTCTTGTCAAGAATATCTCTCGATGCCAAGAATCTTTAATAAGCCATTCACTCATAGTAGTAGAGAGTAGTGTGTAAATCAAATTTAGATCTATGAAATCAAATTTTCTGCGAAATCATTCATTATCTGATTGTTAAATGTATTTGTATTAGTCCACATACCTTGCATTCCATTTACCATTTATCTGATGATTGTAGGTGTCTTGTTTAGATAAAAATGGTCGAGATTGTTTTTACCCAGTGGAAGTGAAGAAACTCATGAAAGCGCATTTTAAAAAGCAAATAATCTGGTCAAATTAGAAGTTTTTTTACACAACAAATGATGAGATTTCATGAAAGCGCAACTTACAAAAGCACAAATAACTGGTTCAAACTAGAAGTCTCGCACTTCCATCCTCAAACGAAAAGTCTGGTCCGATTCACTTTTGATTTTATCAAAGTATAAAAGATATTGCAAACATGGATCTATTTCCGTAGTATAAGTGGATAAGACATTTTTTGGAGTCATGGTTTCCGGAGACATGGTAATCGAAATTTCCTATTTCTCATGCTAAACTGATGAACCACAGCTTTGCCATCTTTTCTTGTAACTCATCTAAAAGATTTGCAAGAAAAATGAGTATCTGTCTTTATCACTGGTGCAAGACTTTCATCAGCCTAATATAAACAAGGAATCAACGCATCAACCTTCGTCCTTCGTCGCCATCTCTCCTTTCACGCGGGGAAAAGTGAGTTGTTTTCTTCTCCAATAAAATTTTCCATTCGTTGATGTTTACAGATCCGAAAAGATGTTAGTCACTGCAAAGACGTGGAAATGGAATTCTTCACGACTATTCAGCAACGTCTCGTCAGATGACTGGCAGCAATGCTTATCAGTCCAGGTGCGTCATCTTCCGAAATCGATTTCGATTTTCTCGGTTGTGTTTTGCATTTATGCATATTTTTACTATGCTATGTGTTTACGGTATCGCCATCTACCTTTTCGATTTTTATTTGCAAGTTCTGGCAAATTTGATTTAAAATGACAAACTGCAAAATATTGTTCCAACTTTCTCCTTTGGTTTTTATGGCAAACGATCCGAGTCGAAGTCTGGTCATTTCCCAAGGAACTCTTTCTTTGATGGTAAAAGCGTTCATACATAAACTTGTTTTCTCTAATGCCGCTACAGTTCATTTCACTTGCGCGAAGCCGACTAGCGATCATACATCGCATGAATAACATACGCGTCGATGATTACGTTCGGACTCTAAGCAAACAATGAACGAATCGTTACCCATGGAAACGGCATTCCGATAAGCATCATTTTTTCACCGATAGTTAAATATCGACCCCTTTGCACTATTATGGGTAATTTTAATCTGCGACGGTTAGTTATCAGTTATGATTTTGTGAAGGTCTTATCTCATGTTTATGATTATTTTGCGTATTACGTTTTTTTGGAATATGTTCAGAATGATCACTGCACGACATCATCGAAGATCATCTTCAAAATGGATTCCGCCGTCAGCACCTTTACACAATCCGATGAGTATTTTCCGTAGCCGTGCTAGCAGGGAACGAGGGTGGGTGTGGTCTTGACCGTTGTTTCCGTTATGTTTATTCTATGAATTCGTTTGAATGTAATCTTCTCACCAGACATCTACATCTTCCTTAATAGCGTCTTTTCTCATCCTTGTCATATCTCGTACTAGCTGGCTTACCCGGCTCCGCCGTATCCGGACCAAACTTGGCACACATACACTTCGGGCCCCGGCGGATGTCACAGTCCACTTTTCGTTATCGATCGATGTCGATTTTACCGATTTTTATCGATTTTTTTGCAGAGTTCACCTACAGGGCTAGGAGTTTGCACAGGGGGGAGGTGAGCATGGGGATTCCGAATACAATATTAGTTTTCAGAATTATCGATTACTTTTATTGATTTTATCGATTTTTTGTAAATTTTGACCTGCGGGGCTGGGAGTTGGCACAGGGGGGTAATCGAGCATGGGGATTCCGAATACAATATTAGTTTTCAAGATCGTCCATTACTTTTATCGATTTTATCGATTTTTTGAAAATTTGAGCTAGGGGGCTGGAATTTGGCACAGGGGTGTAATCGAGCATGCTGATCATCCCCAAGGGGGGTGATCAGCATGCTCGATTACCCCCCTGTGCCAAATTCCAGCCCCCTAGCTCAAACTTTGCAAAAAATCGATAAAATCGATAAAAGTAATCGATAATCCTGAAAACCAATATTGTATTCGGAATCCCCATGCTCGATTACCCCCCTGTGCCAACTCCCAGCCCCGTAGGTGAACTCAGCAAAAAAATCGATAAAAATCGATAAAATCGATATCGATCGATGACGAAAAGTAGCCTATGACACCCGCCGGGGCCCGTAGCGTATGTGTGCCAAGTTTGGTCCGGATCGGTTCAGAAATGGAATTTTCTATTCGGAACATACGTACACACATACAGACAGACAGACAGACATACAAACAGACATTCAGCTTTATATATAAGATCAAAAGGCATTTCCGAGAGTTGTTTGGCAAATGTGGGAATTTGCGCATAAGTAACGTGCTTCTGAAAATTTTGTACACGAACTCATGAGAGTACTAATAATGAAAAATGTAACCCTACTGCATACTCAAAAATTGTCCATAAGTTAGAGTATATCCGAATCTTTATCTGTGCAAATGTATTTGGATTCCTCTATGCTACTTTGAGTGAAATCTCTGACTGTCCGAAAATTTTTATTTTTGAATTTAGTTTCTTCGATAAATGAGTTTTCAACTAAACTTGAGAGATTGCGATAGAATTAGGAAAAACTTCGAACCAATACAAAAAATTTGCCGTAACATTCTTTATCTACCTCGCATTTTTTTACGGGGCAGTTGAAACGGGAAAAAACTATTTCCAAATTTCAAATCCTTCGCGTCAATGCACTTTTTAAAAAAGATTTTCAAATAACCAACTATTTTTGGAAAATTTTAGACTTTGAAATACTTACCACAGCCTTGCGAAAAAAAGTCCTTTCAGCTTTGATAGAAATAAGAAAACATCGTGGTCATTTTGGCCGATTTTGCACGGTTTCACCTTTGTCTCCCCTTCCATTGTCTTACGTCAGCTAATTATTACTGTGAGATATTAGGTTATATTTGCTACATGATTTTATGGAAATTTGAGTTCTCAAGATTACCTCTTATAAACGCGTAATGGTTGTATGGGCTGACAGAAATGGTTTATGTCTATCTAATGATTTCGAAATTTTATCCAAACCATAGGTATGGGGTGATGGCTCACTTTTACAGAATGTCAGAGTCATCACCTCTGAAGAAAAATACTTTGCTGTATGGCTCTTGTCCCACATCAGATCTACATCAAAATGGGACAAATAATTCTGTTGCTTTGAACTTCTCGTAAGTATATTTGACTGATAGCAAATCCACGCGATTGAATATGTCCAAGTCTTATTCTTTGTTTGTGACTGTCCATCTTGTGAGTTTTCCATTTCTACTTCTACAACAGCTGCTTTATCTGGCTGGTCTCTAATTAATGTAAATGTGACAATTTCAGCTCTCGCATGATCCAGCCAAACCATCTTTTCGACGAGCCACGTTATGATCTCAACAATTTTCGCCAATTCACCAACAACTCAATTACGACTACGAAATACAGTCTGCTGACGTTTATACCCTATAACATCATACATCAAATGTGTACAAAATATGCGAATATTTATTTTTTGTTCATTGCATGTAAGATTTTGCTTGTGTATCTTTTGGTGTGCCTGATATTCTGTTTTTAGTGCTAAATTTCTGCCCACTATTTGCTGCATACACAAGATTTCTTGGCTTAGTGCCAATAAGCTTTGTGCTAGGTACAACTCTTATAAAGGTGAGTTACCTGTTTTTTAGAAGATTTTTATTAATTTTGTGATGTTACACATTGATTTTTTCATAATATTACTTACTTGATTAGATCTTGTCTACATCGCCTGACACTAGCAGAATTTTCATAATGTCTGAATAGCTGAAAAATTGTGGAAAAAAATGGCGCTTGTCTAAATTTCGTAAAATAAATAACTTTAACAGCTTTGTATGGATAGTCGCGCTAGCCACATTTCAAATTTCAACATTTTTATGTAACTGAATTATTTCTGATCCTGTATTTAGAATCTATTTTGTCACAGTTTTGCCGCTTATTAGACTTTTCATTTCTAGGATGGTTTCGAAGATTTAAGACGTTGGCGGTACGACAATAAAATAAACAATAACACGTGCCATGTATGGGATAGGTACGAATTTATCTTACTTCAGCATTTATTCTTCTTCACAACCATTGCTTTCTTTCCAGGGATCGCCAGATGTTTCGAAAAATGCAGTGGAAACATATCCTCGTCGGAGATTTTGTACACGTCTCTAATGAACAGGATATACCAGCTGATATATTATTTCTAAGGTGAACTTGGCAAGAACAAGCCTACTATTATTTTTATAGAATTACTTTCATATTCTAGGTCTTCGGACGAAAATGCCACATGTTTTGTGGAAACAAGCAATCTAGATGGGGAAACATCCTTGAAGCAAAGAGTTGTTCCTAGGCAATACGTGGCTTTCTCAGAGGTTAGGAGTGACGTATATTTCAATTCTTTTTTATTCTTTTGATCGCGTTCATTTTTGATTTGCAAAGTATTTGAAATTTTGATTGTCGATGTTGGATTCTTTATCTTGTTCTCGGTCTTGAAAGATTTATATTCTGATTGTTTCAGCCTGATTCGAAGTTCATGCCATCGCAGTTTACTGGGACAGTTTTCTGTGAGCCACCCGATCCGGCCATTTACACAGTTCGGGCGAAAATTGAGTACGAGCCAGGTACGAAAATTTTTTAACTCCAGTAAAATCATGTGATATGTTTGTTGGCCAGAAGAAAATTCATCGTATTTCAAAGTAGGATACCCATAATTACCCGTAATTAAGGATGTTTTGAAGTTGTCACTAAAGACAATATGTTACTTCGAGGTAGCCGTCTGCGAAATACATCATGGATCGAAGGCATTGTTTTGTACGCAGGTGGGTCTTGTTAGTTTCTATTTTTCTTATTATTAAACTGCTTGAATAGACTTACACTTACTTGATTTTTATTTCTATTTTTTTCAAATTTATTGTTTTTTCAATTCTTTCGAATCATTTTTACACTCCTGGAAGATAGAAACAACCGCGTTTTTCTCGAGTTGTAAATTGTTCATGTTCCAAAGCTATAGGAAGATGATAGTTATCTGAGCCATTTTCTGCGTCATTTTTGGAGCTCGATCATTGAGATTTCACCCTTCAGGACATGACACTAAAGTAATGATGAACAATGGTCGTACTCCTCATAAAATCTCTGGAATTGAGCGACTCACCAATAAGTAAGTTCACATTCTGATAAATTTTTTATTAAATTCATATGTCCCGTTATAGATTCATTATTGTTTGCGTTGTTATTCTGGTAGCGATGGTGTTAGGAAGCTCATTGATGTCGGGTATTTGGTCTTCTCATCATCCACCGTCAAATAATATAAGCACAATTATTCCGGTAGGGATCTTCAAGGGAACTGTGTGGGCATGAGGATATATAAAAATTTTTATAGGATCCATTTGTGGTATGGGACGCTCCAACGCCATTTTTCGAAGGTCTGTATAACGTTGGCACATTTGTGATATGTTATCAGGTGAAAATAGCTACTCCTATTTTTTTCAAAAATGCAGTGTTATTTTTGAGGTTATTGTACCCATTTCATTGTACATCACTGTCGAAATTATCAAAGCAGCTCAAATGTATATTCTTAGCCAAGATATTGAACTATATGATGAAGAATCCGTAAGTTTATCTTACTATAATTTTAATCATGGTTTAATTACCCAATTAGGATCGTCCAGTCGACTGCAGATCGCTGAACATCCCAGAGGAATTGGGGCAGGTAAGCAACTTTGGACTTTATTTTTGTTTTCTTTATATTCAATTGTGTAATTTTTATCTACCCTCCTCTTTAACTCCGCTCTAAAAAATTCTCTTTCATCCTTCAGATCGTTTACCTTAAGAATTTCAGTTCTTTGCGTTTTTTAGGTAACCCACATATTATCGGACAAAACTGGTACACTCACAGAGAACATCATGGTATTTCGGAATTGTGCATTCGACCGTAAAGACTATGGCCCGGGAAATTTGGTAAGTCCTCAATACTTCCCACATTCTTTTTCAAAATTGCGTATTTAGAAAGACATAGATCCCACGCAGCCAGTTGCCTCAGTAGCACTACTAGCTAGAGTAAAAAACGAATGGCGCACAAATGCCACTATGAAACATTTCTTCTACAACATGGTTCTGAACAATTCGGTTGTGGTGAATAAAACTCCACATCACGACGAGTTAGAAGTAGGTTTTTGATGTCCTTGTTTCATTGTGAAGATACGGATAAGATTTTTTGAGATGATTCTATTGAGGGTTTGTTATCTATGTATTTTTTGTTTTTTCTATTTATCTGCTCCTTTACAATCTATTTTCTGTTTATTTTTTATTTATTTGTTTACTTATTCAGCCATTTCTTTCTTATAATTTTTTCGCCATCTTGTTTCACAACTAGGGGATGAATATGCCACTTTACCATGGAAGAGAAGAGAAAGATGCATGAAAGAAAAAAGTCTCTAACAATAAGCAGCTAGAGTTCAAATAAATTTTCATCTGTCACTTTGGAAAATCCATGAACCTTTAGGTCGGTTATTTCGAGCATGGAGTCTACAACATTGGGAACTCTTCCTTCTTTGATATCAGCTTTGATCAATTTACGGAAATGGTGGCAAATCTCAAAAAGCAGGCATCTATTGAGGAAAGGTTAGTACTGTTTATGATGTTTTTTTTATTTAGAGGCATATAAATAACTCTGAGTGTACCCATAGAAAGAAGAGGAAAATTCTCACAAAATCAGTTCTGAATTTCACAAAGTTCTAGATAATTATGTTGTTTTTGTCATTACAAACAAGTTACCTGCACACCTTCTAGAACCCTTAATGACCCGTCATCGCCGAGAAAAGCCCAAAAGCGCCCAAAAAAGCCCAAAAGCTCGAAAAAGTCCATAAAAAGCCCAAAAGAGCCCAAAAAAGCCGGAAAAAGAACGAAAGAGCATGAACGCAGAAACGAACTTTTAGTATAATTCTGACATTGTTTTGATGTGCAGACGACAGGAAATGAAACAAAAACACTCGGTTGCGAAATCAACACACATGCCTTCGTCAGAACGGAAGGGACGTTTCTGCGCTTTCGGGCTTTTCGGGCTTTTTCGGCTTCTTTGGGCTTTTTGGGCTTTTTTGGGCCTTTTTGGCGAAGTATGACGGGTCCCTTAGAATGAAATTTCCGAGCCTTCTCGAGGGAAGGTCTAATGCGTCACCAAATATTGCAAATAACTTATTGATAATCACATCGTTGTGTATAAATCTTTTTTTTTCAAGGCCAGATTCACTGGCCAATCCAAATCTGCCGGAAATTCCTGAAGAAGACGAAATTGGCCCGTTCACTCCAGGTACTGAAGGCAAAAATTAGTTGGTTGTACTTAAATCATCTCTTAGGATCTCCCCGATCATTCACTCCCATATCCTCTGCGTCCGAGAAGGAGGCGCCTCCAATTTTGACTCCGTTATCGCTCATCTCAAAAGGATCTCTTACAAAATTTGTGCGAAGAAATATCATTTCACCCATCCAGGATCTGTAAGTTCTCAGATATAATCGAAATAATGGCTCAAAAAAATAACATCAGGATTCCTTATGCTTCGATTCGTAAACTTCGTCATGAAACCCTTCTTCCACAAGAAGAATGGTGTCCATATGAAGCTGAAAGCCCGGATGAGTTGGCGTTAATCTTAGGTATGCTTTTTTTCTGCTAAACATTTTCCAACTCAAATTTTTATTCTTCTTTGGCTCTAAAAAATTTCTATCTAGGTGCAAAACTCTACGGTTTCACGCTTGTAGACAAGGCAGCAACACACATCAAAATTAGTTTACCGGATGGTTCCAAAGAAAAGTGAGTTTTATAATTTTTTTGGATGAGTTGGATTAACATGTGGAAATTGGTTGGAATGTCCTGTTTAATCTGCTGCCCAAACGGTAGCCCACGTGACTCATTCATGATTAATAAACTTAGCGCTTGCCCAATACCGTACTCTTAAGCGAATCAATTAGCGGATACGGTGCTGGGCGAGGGTTTGGAGTTCAGTTTCTCGGCAACGAATAAACTATATGATCTGCCATCTGGGCACTAGCTTAGTTGAGCAACCTCAGACGCTTTGGACAGTTTGTCAAATTCCTAATATTTTAAGAGTTCCAATTCTTCAAGTTCTTCCCTTCCATTCTGGACGTAAACGTATGTCCATAGTGCTTGATACACCAGCTGGACCTCTGTTGTATTGCAAAGGAGCAGATTCTGCAATATTACCTAGGTAATTTTTTGCATACAAAAGTTGGAAGAACGCGATTTTCTTCAAATTTTCTTTAGACTGCGTCGCCCGACAGAAGCAGAATCCGTCCATTGCTCAAAATTGAAGGAACGGCTGGACGAGTATTCTTGTAGAGGTCTTCGAACTTTGGCATTTGGTATGCGACTGCTAAATCACGAGGAATGGGACGAGTTCATGGAGAGCTATCGATTTGTGGGTCATTCAAAAATAGTGGACAACTCGTCCACTATGGGCGTGGCTTGTCCCGGAAATGTTTTCAAATTCTAATTATAGGCAATGAGCGTAACCTCAAATGATCGTGATGAGCTTCTCTCGCAGAAGGCGGATGAGATCGAAAAAGACCTGGAATTGTTGGGAGTGACGGGGATTGAAGACCGATTGCAAGTAAGCTCCGCCCACTTTGGATGTGGACGAGTTTTCCACGGGCGTCTCTTCATCCATGTACGTGCTTCTTACACAATAAATTATTGTTTCATTCCAGGATGGTGTGGAAGAGACAATAGTTGCAATGCGCAGTGCAGGCATACAGGTATGCATGAATTTTTTTGGATTTTTTCGACGTTAATTCCTTGATCTGTAGGTGTGGGTCCTGACTGGAGACAAGCTAGAAACTGCTGAAAATATTGCACGATCTTGTGGATTGTTTTCGCCCAATAGAGAAACAAGAAAAATAGAGACCCCGGAAGATGTAACGCAAATACGAGGAGAGGGGTAAGCCTGGCAGAAATTACCATCCTTGGGTTCAACCCACATTATTAGTTGATATTTTAAACGGTGTAGTTGTATGTGGACCAATTAGATAGCTAGGCCACGCCCCTTGGCATGCTCTCTATTGGTGGAACACAATGATCGGTTATTGGTGGCGGGGTCAATCGAATTTGTGTTTTTATCGATTACTGTTACAGATTCAACTTGATTCTCTCACCACAAGCAACACTTATGGCAAAAGCTGGTGAACAATCCTTACTCTCCATTCTTAAAAAGTGAGTACCCACCAACAATAGTTTTTTTTTTGAACCTATGGTTTTTCAGGGCTAAAGCTGTGTTGTGCTACCGTATGACACCTTCAGAAAAAGCAGAAATTGTAAAATGTGTAAAAACACGTCTGAAAGTGAGTTAGTTACTGGGTTGTGCATATGCGGCACTATCAATCAATATATCGATTTTCCAGGGTAGGGTGCTAGCTATTGGTGATGGTGCTAATGACGTACCAATGATTCAAGCTGCACATGTTGGAATCGGGGTGGCTGGAAAGGAAGGCATGCAGGTAAACACTTTTTTGAATGGAAAAAATTTTTTACTTTTACTATTTGCATCTCTTTCTCCTTCTATTTCTTTCTGTGTTCTTATGGAATCATTTTTTTGTAAAATTTTTGAAAGTATTGGTTTTTTAACGCATGTTTTTTCAACATTTATACTTTTTGTAATTGAGGAGATCATTTTTTCCAATATTAATGTTTTTTCTGTAAAAACCACTGGCGGATCGAGGGGGGGAGGGGCTTTCACCCGAGAGCGGGTCTCGAAATTTTTTGATTTCACTTGTTAGGTTACAAAGATGTGCATGTGACTTGTTTATATTTGTAAATAATCAGAATAGTTTTCGAAATTCTGCAGAAATTCATATTAGTTGTGAATGATTTTTTCAAGGGCGTGGCTACTACCACTCACCTTTTCTTGATTCGGGTTTTGTACCCGCAAAACTTTTGTTAAGAAATTCTAAATTTTCTTCGGAGTGCGTGGCTAACACCACGCACATGTTAGTTGAAAAATTGTCCCCCCCCCCCCCGAACGGAAGTCCTGGGACCGCCCCTGGTAAAAACTCATATGACTTTTGCTTATTTACTGATCCTAAATTTTTTCTGCGCAATAGTCCGGTGTCTTATTGACCACTGCTTTCATGATGCTTTCTTAATTTTATCTTTCTTTGATATTTTCAGCTTTTCTTGATTTTTCGTGGCAGAATTTTTCCATTATAGGCTGCTATGGCTTGTGACTTCGCTATTGCAAGATTTCGGTTTCTTAGACGTCTGCTATTGGTGCACGGGCATTGGTGCTACGATCGTCTTGCTCTAACTTTTTTGTTCTTCCTTTACAAAAATACGGTAAGTGGGTTTAGCTCGCGATCTTTTACAATTTATCTTGAATGATCATTCTGTTCAGAACAATGTATTTATTCTGTTTTTCTTTCAATTTTATGATGGATGGTCAGCAGCTTTCACTAATGACCCCACGTATACTATCCTATACCCAATCATCTTCTCAGCGTAAGTCAGTTTTCATTCCCGCCAGAAAGGGAATGTACTTGCTTACAGTGTTCAACCTATAATAGTCGGTGTCTTCGACCAGGATCGATCGGCTGAAGATCTACTGGAAGATCCGAGCTTGTACTCATCAGGCCGGAAAGGAACCAAATACACATTTAGCCTTTTTGCGCTCAGCGTTATTGACGGGATATGGCAAGCAGCTGTTGTTTATTATGTGGCGCATTTGGTAAGAACGTTGAAAGTTCTGTGTCAAGATTCCAGGTGAATTTTTTCCAGACCTTCGACGGTTATGATTGTGGATTATGGACTTTCGGATTCTACACATCCACAGGTGTAATGCTTACCAATGCCGCACACCTTAGCATCGAAGTTAGGTGCTGGGTGAGTATCTCAGTCTTTGAGATGATTAGCTGTATGCCAAGCCCTAACTCATTTGCGTTTTACATCGATATAGCCTATCTCTTTTCAAAGTTTTTTTTCTCGGAGTTTCTGAACAAATCGTTTTTTTATTGTGATACCTGCATACGACAACTCGTACCCACTGACAGTAATTTTGTCGTAAGTTAGATATTTTTATTCAAATTTTCGGAGTCCCTCAGTACAAACCTTTTAGAAGTGGTGCTCACTATATTTTCCTCTCAAGAAAAGAATTTGAGCCCAGTATTTAGATTCGTTTCCATTTCTTTAGATTTGCAGCAGAAGCTTTGTTTTATATCAAATTTTTTTCACGAGCACTGGTCCCCACTTACGATATCGCTCTCTAATTCACATAATTTCAAACTTGATTCCGCTAGGCATTTCATTTTCATAGGTTGAGTGAAGGGGGATGTGTTGAAGTGCGTACAAACCTGGTCTCTATTTATAGTCACGTTACCTAGCGAGTCCATTGTCTAACTTACAGTTGATGCGTGATGTTAGTTGTGTGATGTGATAATTGCGTAACATATGTTAACTTTAAAATTTTAGACCCTGCCGATAGCGATAATTTTCATATTTTTCATCGGACTTCACTATGCTTACTTCATCATATATGGTTTTGTGGTCCAACCACGTAAGTGAACCTATCGAGTTTTCTCTTTCTAAAATTGTGAAAGTGTTATTACATGTGAATTCAGAATGGATCCACAATGCTCCTGTGCTGGTCGCGCTGGAGGCCATGATGACTGTGGACTTTTGGTTGTATAGCGTGATTGTAACAGTAATCGCAGTCTTTCCAAGGTGGGAACAATTTGTGTAAGTTTGATGTGATATTGGTTTATCGATTGTTTTTTCAGATTTGCATGTAGATGCCTGTGGAATACGTTGTTTGATAAGGAGAAGAGAAAGACGAAGTGAAAAATTTTCGGGTGCAAATGACTCTGTGATATGTTTGTACATAATAAGCTGATATTATGACACGTGCCTATATGTATTGATTTCATTGATTTTTTTGTTTTTGTTTTCAACAAGCAATAAATTTTGCTGTTTTTTCTTGAAGCACCACGAAAGTGATGGTTTATCCCTTAGAGATGTTTTGAACTTTTAGGGCTTCAGTTTCAACACAAATTTCTCTAAATTTTAAGAAATTTGACTTCTACGATCATGCACTTTAACCGGGTATTAACTTATTTGAGTAAATTATTGAAAACGTTCCACTCAAACAGAATAAAGGTTTTCAGATTGGGTCGCAACATTATAATTTTATTGACTCATATTTGTGATTTCGCAGTCGTTTTTTGCCGAGTATTTACTGTCTTGTAAAAATTTTATTCATATCATTTTGCAACTGTAATGAGTATTTTCGAATTCTCTCAAAAGTCGATGTTGAAGCATTTTATTACGTAAATAAAGTGCAAAGCTCAATGTACTTTAGTAAACCCGTACAGACGATTAAACGTCTGAGGTTAGTGCATTATGCAAAATTGTAAAATTTCACAGGCATGAGGTCCTTCAAAAATTAGTAAATCATCCACATCTTAAGTAGCAAGATCTTGCTTCTTGATCAACTGATAGTAACGTCCTTTCTGTTGCATTAACTGTGAATGCGTACCAGATTCGCGTACTTTACCGTTTTCCACGTAAACAATCAGATCAGCGTTTTGTATCGATGATAGTCGATGTGCTATAGTTATGCATGTACGTCCTTCTCTAGCCAAATCAAGGGCTTTTTGGACAGCCTAAAAAATTCGTTTCTTGTCTGGGGGGGGGGGGATTAGAAGTCAGCTGAGAGACTTACTCGTTCGCTTTCGGAATCCAAAGCGCTAGTGGCCTCGTCGAGTAGAAGTATTTTTGGATCTCGTACCAGAGCTCTAGCGATCGCAATGCGTTGCTTTTGACCACCAGAAAGTTGTGTGCCTTTTTCACCAACCTGAAAAATCAGTAAAATCAATGAAATCTCTGAAATCATCCTAGATTGTGTTTTCCTTCTGCGCTATGTTTGCGTACTGCAAGTCGTTGTAATGGCCACGCCCGCTACAGTATGCTCTATCCAGCCACGCCCACTACAGTATGCTCTAGCCAATCAGCACTGTCCTGCTTACCTCCGTATCAAGTCCAGCAGGTAAATTGGCCATGAAACGTTTGGCATTTGCAAGCTCCAGAGCTTGATCGATTTTTTCCATCGGTACCTGAAATTCCAAAAGTTTGCCAAAATTTATCGATCGATACTGATTGCTATACCTCGCCAAGGCCGAAACAAATATTCTGTTTGATGGTTCCAGCAAATAAGCGTGGTTCTTGACCAACTAAAGCCATTTGTGTCCGGAGATGGTTGAGCGACAGTGTCTTGATATCTTTTCCGTCAAAACGCTGAAAAATATTCTTGATATCAACGCCTGAAGGAAAAATATTGATTTTTTTCCTACCACATGACCGCTATTGGCATCGTAAAATCGCTCCAGCATGGAGATAATAGTAGATTTTCCTGAACCAGATGGTCCAACAAGGGCTACTGTTTGTCCACGCTGAGCTGAAAATTGCAATCCGCGCATCACGGGTTGTCGCGGACGCTGTGGGTAACTGAACTTTACGTCTTCGAACATGATGTTGCCGCGAATTGTCTAAATATATGAAATTCAACAATATAGGAAGGCACCCATGGGGGCGGAGTCGGCTAACGAAGGGGCGGGGTTATCCACAAAACTCACGGCTTTTTCTCCAAACTCAGCGCTACCAGTCTTAGGCTTGCGGTAGATCATACTGAACAAGAGCCCTGCGGCCGTCCGAGCTTTGACGAACTCGGGGAAATACGCGGACGAGTTCATCACCGCCACAGAACCTAGTAGCATAGCTATGATGCATCTAAAATACGCAGAATTGATTTTATCGATTTTTCAAAAACCAAAACTAACGTGAATACATCGTCCGAGCTCTTCTTCCCAGTATAGATAATATGAATACCAAGAGCATATGTGACACACATCATTATGTAGGTGAACGACTGCGAAATCGTAAAATTAATGCCCTCGAAAATACCTGCAAAATTCAAAATTATATTCTACACTTAGGGATCTTTCTAGAACCCACCTTTCGTCAGTTCAAATCGTTTTTGGTATTTACTGGCAGCTTCATAGCGTGTAAAGAAGTGTGCAGTTCGAGTGAGTAATTGTATCGTGCGCACATTTTCGATCGTTTCGATAGCAAGCTAAAAATCGATAATCGACTATTTCTTTCGCGTAAGTTTGACATTTTATGATTGATGGCTTGGTACGAATGAGTATGAGAAGCTAGAATGCAATTTACGATTTCAAGTCTTGTGGCGAAAGCTGATCCCCAAAGTACGGATTTAGTCTTGACGGGGGAATGATACCCAGTCAAGATTAGTTTTATCGAAATGAAATATGTAGCCGTCCTGACGGTTTCTCGCTTCACATGTCGTTAGTTAACTTGCCATAAATGGGGACCAGTTCTCGTTTCGATATGTGACTCACCCGGCCAGCTTCGTCATTTTTGATCAACTCTATATTTTTCACCATGATTATGTGAGCTAGCATTATCATCGAGAAAGCCAACACAATTAGCATTCCTACTCCCAACAAGGCGACCTGCAATTATCGATTTTTCGATTGGTGACATTCATATAAAACGACAAATACCTGCCAACTGTAGACAAATCCGATCACTATGCATGCGGTAATTGCTGTTAGCGCGTAGATCACTTGTAGAGCACGTCCATCAATAACCTGAGTATCACAGGTTTATTGATTTATTGATCTTCAAAAAATGTCATGCTCACCGCTTTGATATTGGGTGCATCAGTAGCTAAGCGTGTTATGAGTTTGCCTGGTGTGTGTGCTGGATTGTCAAAATATGAAGCGTCCTAAATTTTTACCATATTTTGACATTTCAGCTTTTAGACTTAGTCAATAAATAGATTTGCATTAAATAGTCTAATTTGGCACGTTTAACTTGTAAAGTCAATCGATAAAGTCGATTTTCGCAACATGAACATGTATGTCATGAGTTTACCTGAAAGAGCATGTTTTTGAATGATTGCACGCGGAATCGCATAGCTAGATTCTCCGAAACTATTGCAAAGAATATACTCTGAAATCAATCAATAATCGATTTTTCCAAAGTGACAGCTTTTTCCAATTTACACGATATAGGAAGACTTACGCTAAGTAGTTGGAATATCATAATACCAAAAGCAACCGAGCAGAAAATGATCAGAGCCATACACAGTCTGCGAAAGAGGCGGAGTTTGAAGTCAGAACATTATTGTGGGCGTGGCTTACCTATGCATCATATCCGCACCCCACGGAACCATTTGGAATGCCTCAAAAACGTAGCCAAAAATAAGCGCTAATGCGGGTAGCTCCATTCCTCGCAGAATTGCCGTGATTAATCCAAGCGCCATCCAATGATAGTTACCAGTGGCATTTTTGTAAATGTCCCAGTAACCGGCGGTGATTTGTCCATCCTGAAAAATTGTTTTGGAATTTTCTCTGCATCTTTAGCTCTCCTTGTAGGCTCCGCCCACATTTTCAAATTAAAATTCTACCTCTTCCATAATTTTTTTGACTTCCAGGGCATGTGCTTCGTTTTCCGCATCCGCTTCAGCATTATATGAATGTCTTCCAAACGAGTCGTTTATTGACTGGCCACGTACAAAAGCGTCATAGCCGGACCTGTGATTGGTCAATAAGCTGTACGTTTTGTGATTGGTCAAAGTAAATCTGATCTCTTCGCAATTGGTCGCAGTAGGAGTTTGTTTCTTTTCTAAGTTGGAAGAGATGTCGATATTTTCAATAATACTTACATTCTTCTTTCGGACAATGTGGACTGACGTGACATTTGATAGCCGGCTGGTGGGTCGTCACTAAAAAAAATCGATAGAGTCGATAATCATGTCAAATTATGATAAGCACTCACGTTAGATCAATCTCTTCCTCTAGCACTTCTTCTGCTTCTGGTATAAATTGCTGCGCTTTCACCAATTCGTAGTACCTCAAAGAAGCAGAGTGATATATCTCATCTGCGTCTCTAACCTCTCGAAAAATCAATACTTACTTGCCACGTAGCGCAACAAGTTCTTCATGTGTTCCTTGTTCAGCAATCTGTCCTTTTTCGAAGTAGACAATTTTGTCTGCGTCTCTAATCGTCGATAAGCGATGCGCAATGACTATAGTCGATCTGCCGCGCGATGCGTTGTTTAGCGCCGACTAAAAATCGATTATTGATTTTCCAAGGTATTTTTAAGAAACCGTTTTCATCTCATTGATTAAGTGGTGCTATTCGGCTGTCCGGGCACCAAAATTTTTTTGTCGTGGATTTCGATCAAACTCGGCCCAGAGGGGTTATCTGCCATGCTGATCACGAATATCACCTTTTCTCCGCAGGAAAACGCCTCCCTGCAGGGTTACGGTAGGTACACGGTAGAGGGTCAAAATCATAGATTTGCCCGAAACTTGGCACAGAGGGGTTATTCGGCCCGCTGATGCCAAATATCACATTGGTTTTGAACCGTAGCGTCATTTTATCAGGTCACGGTAGCTACACGGTAACGGGTGTAAAACATAGTTCTGCCTGAAACGGGTGTACGGCGATTCGGACGATCGTGAGCTTTGCACACACGACCACCGCCGCGCGCTACACACCCTGCTGCGGCTTTTGCCTAAGCAAAGCACGGGAAAGATACATTTGCCGATTTATGAGTTTGACCTCTACCTTAAATCTACCGTAACTATGGAGGGAGACGTTTTCGTGTGGAGAAAGTGTGACATCTCTAATCAGCATGTCGAATAACCCCTCCGTGCGAAGTTACGGCAGATTTTGAGATTTTGACCCCCTACCGTATACCCACCGTAACCCGAGAAAGTGACGCTACGTACAAAACCAATGTGATATTCAGCATCAGCGGCCCGAATAACCCCTCTGGGCCATACTTCAGATAAGTCTATGACCTGTGACCCTCTACCGTATACCTACCGTAACCCCGCAGGGAGGCGTTTTCCTGCGGAGAAAAGGTGATATACGTGATCAGCATGTCAGATAACCCCCTCGGGCCAAGTTTGAGCGAAATCCATGACAAAAAAATTTTGGGGCCCGGATAGCCGAATAGCGCCGATCAAGTTTCTATCAAAAAAAAAATTCAGACCTGAACAATGCTTTCACTTTGCGCATCCAATGCACTAGTAGCTTCATCGAGTAGGAGCACCTAAATTCACACTATTAACTCCCCTGCCTGGAGTCCCGGCGCGAAAGTTACCTTTGGATCTCGCGCTAACGTCCTAGCGATAGCTATACGCTGCTTTTGACCACCAGAAAGTTGCACGCCACCGTCACCGATGTATGTTTCGTAACCCTGAAAATCGATAATTGATTCGTCAAGGGGGTGTTTATACTTGGTCGCTTACACTTGGCAGTTTCATAACAAAATCGTGCGCATTCGCCATTTTGCATACGTAGACCATCTGTTCCATGGTTAGATGTGGGTTGCCCATTTTAAGGTTACCCGCTACAGTGTCATTGAAAAGGCAAGGTTCCTGCAACGAAAAACTTTCGTGATCTTGATGCAAAGACGATTTATAGGAGTTCTTCCGAGCGAGAACTAGCCCCCTACGAAAACTATTCAAGCTATCTTACCTGCTGCACTATTCCAACGGTATTTCTCAACCATTCTATGTTCAGCTCTTTCACATCCTGTCCATCCAGTGTAACTCGTCCAGATTCGGCCTCGTAGAGGCGAGTTATCAGCCCGACAGATGTGGATTTACCACAACCCGAGTGACCCACTAGCGCTACAGTCTGACCAGGTTCGATGACAAGGTTTAGGCCATTTAGGACCTGTAAAAATAGAAAGTTTTGGCGCGAAAAATTTTTTGTTTAGAAAATTACAACCTTGACGTCTTTCCTACTAGGATATCTAAAATGTACGTTTTCGAACACAACGCGACCCACAGCACTGTCTGGTTTGCGTCCTAGTGGTGAGTAGATGTCAATCTTTGGCACCTAGAAAACGTGTCATTTACTTTCCAAAATCAATAAAATCAATATTTTCTCGCTAACCCTGTCGATTGTCTGGTAAATCGTGGCAGCAGCAACACGAGCATTCAGTAAAACCATCAAATGAGGTGAAATCAGTCCCAAGAAGTATGCTCCCAGCAACATTGACATGACGACTATAAACACTTCTCCGGGAGTATCGATGATTCTCACTTTGAGTAGGTAGCCTCCGTAGCTGAACTGATACCATTAGCAAAGGGCCGATCTTGTGCAATGGAGCGCGTGAAGCAGAACTTACAGCATTCCGCATCCAAGGAACGAAAACAAGACGAAAAAGAATAATCCACCCAGCAAACCACTCCAGAAACCTTTCCAAATAGCAAACACTTTGCCGCGACCTAGCTCGGCCGAGTATCTGAAAAAACAATTCAAGAATAAACCTTCAAGGGCGAGAACTGGTCCCTAGAAGAACTAGTATACAGGGACACTAGTTTGTCACCGGAGACTTGTTATCGCTGCGAAACAGTTTCATAAACATTATTCTGGAGTAAAAGATGGTTCCAAGGGGACTCCTTGACAGAGGGAAGTGCTTGTTACTTGGGGACCAGTCTAGTAAACTTATTTACCAGGAGCCCCTTCCATTTTCAGAAAGGCTTTGGAGCAAAATGGTTTCGGGAATGACTACTTTATAGAGAAGAGTGATCTTGTCACTGGGGACCAGTTCTCGTTGCGAGCAAACTAGAGACAAAAAACATTTATTTTTAAAAGCAGTATTTTTAAGCGTATTCTTTGAAAAAAACTTCACAGAAGAGAGTAATTCGTCACTTGGGGACCAGGTTTCGATATGAATTCAATATGGGCACACTTCACTTTCAAAAAGATTGCTTTGGAACGAAAGCTCGTCCAACTCTGTAGAGTAGTGTTGTATGTGAACCAATGCCAACAACTTATTCGGAGCTTTGAGTTTTGACCGTGGAATTTGCTTTTATTCGCTTCCAGGGGAATCGCAGTTTTCTTCCATCTCTACGGTTATATTTTATTGCACCAACCTGTCCACCATTTCTTGTTGTCCATTGAAAGCTTGTACTGTCCTCACACCCATCAACGATTCTTCTGCGATGGATCCCGCTTTGCCCACTCCAGCCAATTCTTTCATTGTGGTAGATGTCATTTTCTGTAATTATTCTGCTGCGAAAGCTGTGCGGAAATCGCGACAAAGGAGCTCACCCTCGCCATGAATGACATGACAAGGCAGGTAGCTGGCGCAACGCCAAGCATCATAAGTGCCAAGCGCCATTCGTAGATGAAAGCGATAATAACAGCGGCGATGAACATGGCGCAACCGCGAAGCAGTAGTCCGAGTTTATCCCCGATACCTTCACGGATTCTTTCCATGTTGCTGAAAAAGCGTATTTTCAATTTTTACGCCATTCCTATACTGCCTTGCTTCACAGCTAGTTTTTTAAGAATTTTTTCATGCAGAAATATCCATAATGCGCCGTAAGTATGTGCATGTGTTTCTCATAGGCGACAACACGGACGAGTTCTCGTCAGGGCTCGGCACGAGCTGGCACCAGGGAAATTTCAAAACGAAGTCCCGTTTGATATTGAAAATTTCGTACGAAGTCCCTTTTGACCTGTTTTGAAAACCCGTCATCATTTTTATATTACGTAAAAAATGTAGTAGTGTTCATTTCTGATTCATGAAAGAACTTTTCACAACTTTCTGAGCTTTTTAAGTGGTCGAGTCACATATTGAGAAGCAGAAAAAGCCGATTTTTCGACCGCGGAGCGGGCTAAGTGGTTTTCAAATTGCTATAAAACGCTGAAAAGAGAACATTATGAAACTGTTTCTTCTCCGTATGTAATCTTTTACAGTGTAGATACATTTTATGTAAAAAAGTATGAAAACTTATGTGAGCAAAGTGTCGGTGCCAGCTCAGCTGGCACCCAGCTGGCACGGTGCCAGCTAATTCAGAAAAAAGTTGGGCACAGCTTTCATTCACATAAGTTTTCATAAATTTTTGGCCCGTAGTTCCGGTCCACCAACGCGCATGCACACACCAAATTTGGTGTCATACTATTGCGTTTTGGCTGAAAGCAACGCCTTTGTTTGTTGATGGACAGCTTGCCAATGGCATGCCGGTGGCATGCCGGCGGCATTTTTGCGGCAGTTCTCCTCTTCGGTCCCTGTGGAAACGATATCCCCTTTGCTTTCCGCCCTAAAAACGATATCCAGCTTGACCCGGTGCCAGCTGTGCTGAGCCCTGGTTCTCGTTATCCCTGCAATCTTCCCAAACCACTAAATGAAGCTTTCGGTTACTTTTTTACAATTTCCTGGAGCTTGCTCATTAAGCTAACTTTTGTGAGCTAAATTTTTGGTACTTTTCCGTTATCCGGACCCATTTTTACAAAAGGCTCTTATAGAATGTTTTTTAGTCTAAAAACAATTTTTCATAAATTCTAAGAGGACTGTCTCCCCGCCACGTGTCAGCGAAAAATTGACACGTTTCAGTCCATTTCGACATGTTTTTTCGAGATCATTCCCGGTGAGGTAAAATAGCATTTGTGATCACCTAAAAGCTGTGCAACTCTTTTCTATAAAAGTAAAACAATCTAGAACCATTATTAGAACATCTTGGTCACTTCTAGCAATGATTCAAGATTGTCTTTCTCTTCAAACTTTCAGCCATGCGAGTTTAGCCAAGAAAGACTATGAATGATGGCTTAAAGTACCTCACTGCTGCTTCTTCCGCCGCTTAGATGATGGAACCTTAGCGCACTTCTCTATTTAGGGCATGGCTAATCTGTACATTAGTGACAGTATGACCTCATTATTATAAAAATGTTCATTTTTTATAGTGTTTAATTGAAAATGGGGTCATTATTGACTGAAAAACAAGTTGAACTAACGTCGCTGGATAGGGTAACACAAACTCCTGGTAAAACTTGTTAAACATGTAGATGGCATGTCAATTTTTTTGACACGTGGCAAAAGGTTGACACTTCTTACTATGAAGTTAAGACCAGATATAGTACAAGGAATGAAGCATTATACTTCTTTGAAAAAATGGGTCCGGATAACGGAAAAGTACCAAATTTTTTATCTCCACTTTCAAAGTAAAGTTTTGCTCTACATCATCATGTTCGATACTGTTATAAAATTCAGTTTTGTTAACTAATAGGCCAACAATGCAATATGCAGACTTACCTGGGTTATTTGGAACTACTGGTTAACCCATCGTCTTAGCTAAAGCTCATATATTTATTTATGACCGAGGAATTCACTCCAGTCTCTCGTTTATTACGGTACTCTTTCAAGGTAGACCAATAAGTACTTTTCGTTACGGTATTGGGCGACGAAAGTACAAAGGTGACTCTCTATGCTAAGAAAGCAAAGGAGCTTCCGCTTGAGCCATGGCTTAGTCAAAGCTTCAATCAATGCGTATAAATCTCTAGAGACCTACATTTTTCATTTTTTTTTCCTACATTTTTCTCGGCACCGCTTTCAAATTTGGAAATGGATTTTCTTGTGGGAGTCCCAATCACATTTGTGTTCTTTAAGCACTTACTCATTGAGTTTCGTCGTCAGCATTCCGGAGTGGTTTCTATCAAACCATCCAGCATTCTGTCGTAATATAGCGCGCACATATTCGTGGCGCATTTTCGCGATGATTCGAGTGCAACAGTTGTGGAAGCACATAAACTAAAAAGATTATCTGATGGTTTAAATCAGAAAATAGATATATCGATCACTTACCTGAATAAAATTCGTTATGAAGATGAACACTCCAATGCCAAGAAAAATGTACACGTTCTCATAGGCACCATTACGGAATTCTCTTGAGGTAGGCGGATATACCAGTAGAACATTGGTAATGCGACCGCTGAATTTTCAGTTTTAGCGGAGGGGAGGGGCACTCAAATTTTTTTGCTTACCTGACTAGGGCTAATACCGGTTGCGATATACCACTGAGAATTGCACATATTAGACCAATAAAAAGACAGAAGTGGTCCCATCTTGTACCGTAACGGAACTGAAAATAGTTATCTAATCTATTTTGAAAGGTGAGAAGAAATGCAGACCTTCGATTTTCTCATTATTATATTTTATAACTAGAAAATCTGCAGTTACTTTTTTCAAGGAAAGGTACTTCGTGCATTTTGGTATTATTTTTAACTCAGATTTTCTTTTTCGAGCCGTTTTGGTCCTCAAAATTATTTGAGCGTTTTTCAGAAAATGCACTTTATATAATGAGTTCAAGCCGTTACTTTACAAATAATGCACTCACCAGTCCTGCTATGGATACTGGTTTGACTTCAAGCACTTGTTTAGCGAGATCACCTCTGAAAGAATATCTGAGTTTTTGATACAGTATACCTACAGGATCCCAAAGTTGAGCGTCAGTCTACCTGCACAGCAGAATATTGATGATTTTCTCAACTGTTGAAGGTTCATAGACATGTTTTCTATCTTCATCGTCATCCACTGCTGTTGTTGGTTCTATGAAAACTGGCGTGGCGAGAACCTAAATAGATATTTTTCAGGCGTAAACTATTTTCAGCGCTTAGTTCCACTTACCGTACTCTTTTTCGAGGCATCTGAGCCACGGCTAAGCCCACCATCGCCTCCTCTGCGGAGGGCAAATTCGTTCCGGGGAGCCATGGAGCGTTAATTTCGAAAGGATATGACCATAGCAGTTCGTTCTGAACAAAATTCCAGCTTAGAACTGCATAAATAAGGAAATAGTCATTTTTACGTCTAGAAAATTCACTACTTCTTGAAGTTCGGAAAGGTTCAGAACAAAATTTCTAAGACTCCGAGAAAACACTGTCTGCTCTTTTTTACGACGAATTCAAAAATATGTGACTGGGTGGTCAATAAGTTTGATTGATGATTTAGTAAGTTCACTGAATATTTAAACTGATCTGATAAATATTTACGTTGAACCACAAATCATAATTACTGTTTTGCAATAAAGTGCAAGATTATTGAACAATTGAGTGGAATTTGAATTTTGCGCAAAATATAATAAATGATAGATTTGATGAGTAAATGGTGAACGAGAGTGTTGTAGGAAGGAGCGAATGAATGAATGAAAGAATGACGAAATAAATGTCTACTTGAATGAGAATGAATGAATGAACGATGGAGGATGAAAGAATGATGTGAATGGATAAGTAATGAGTGAATGGATGGATGAATGGAGAGTGAATGGTGAATGAATGAATGATTGAGTGTTTGAATAAATGAATGAAGAGTGGGATGAATGAAATAGTTAGTAAATGATCTTGAATGAATGAATGAATGAATGAATGAACGAATGAATGAATGAGAAAATGTGCGTACAACTGTGTAAATGATTGTATATGAATGAAAATGTGAGCAGGTTTTGTGAAGGTTAGGGAATGAAAAGAAAAAAATAAAAGATAATTATTTGATCAGTGTATAAATTGAATAGACGGATCTACGAATTGAATAAAGGAATGAATGAATGAATCTATGAAGCAATGTGAAAGATGAAGTAGGATAAGCATAATGGAAAGAGATTTTTTTATCTTTATTTCCTCTCATTACGATTTCAAATTTGATAACATTTATTCATCTATTGTAAAGTACGATGAACGAAGGTGCTGGACGAATAAGAATAAGTGAGTAAATGAATGAATGAATGGAAACATGAATTACTGTGAATAAATGCGAATGAATAAACAAATGGTTTGAGTAAGAGAATATTGACAGGAGCGGCAGTTGTAGCTAAATAAATCGAAGTTATGGATGCGGTTTGTGACTTATGAGAAGTCAAAACGTTTTTTAGGTCTTATGAAAACCAAAATTTGCCACACGAGCATGCATTATTTATTTAGGGTTGATTATGGTTATAAGTATACTGTAGAATCTCAGCGAGACCTCAGAACCCCGTGAAACCTGTGTAAATTCATGTCAGTCATTGTGCATGTGTGTATTCTTTGCGCTGCCATTAAGTACGGAGTCTCCCGGTGCCAACCTCCTCCTGAGCTGCACACGGCGGAATGGTTGATGTTACTCAAACAATGTACGGACCAGGTTGCAATTGATAAAAGAGTCCGAAAAAAGTGGAGAGTTTAGAGTTTGGTGTGATTTGTGCAAGATTGCGACATGGAGTTCAGCGATTACCTGTGCACATACTCGAGTGTCGCGAGTTCATTCTATTAGGTAAAGAGGAGTGAAGGAGCGGATTTTGAAGGCCAAGTAATCTTTTCAAAATCTCAAAACTTGATCCACGGAAAGTTTCGAATACTGGAGACTGCATATTCCGAAAGCTTCTACGAAGATATAGTTGTGCACTTTTAGAAACAAAAAACAAAGATTGCCATATTGCTTGAACATTCGAAGAGAAAAACGTCATTTTCAAAGTCCGAGAGATAGTCGATAGGGTTTCGCTATTTTGGAGCCTTTTCTAGTAAATTTGACTGCGTTTTGGCCCTTACCGTAATCCTACAGTAGCAGCATTTTCAACTAAAGATAGTGCCCTGATATCTGCATTACGTGAAATTTTTGGTAGCTAAGTTTCTGCCCCGGTAAGTTGCGATATTAGGATAAAATCGGGACAGATATAAAGTTGGGAGTCCTACTATTGTAGGATTACGGTAAGCCCTGTAATATGGATAATCCAGTTATTTTTTTGATTCTTGTGAAATTACGGCACGTATCTGTTTTATCTTCTACATACCATTAGTGGTCGACGACAGCTCTAAACTTCTTCATGTCTTTTTGTGTTTTTTTACTTTGTTTTCTTTTCTACAGATTTTTCTCCGCTTGTATAAAATCTATTCGGGTTGATCAGATTTCTTCCCCTTTCGATAAATGGCTGAATTCTGCACGAGTCATATTAGTTTACACATCTACATCAAAGAATCTCGTCCAGACGCTGGTAACTCCTCCCTGATCTTAGGAGCACATCGGCGATGTTTGCCGACAAGTTGTAGTATGTGTTGTTTGCTGTTAGAATGGCTCAAGAATCGGCGCACAGTTCACACAAACCCAGAGAACTGACTGTTGACTTTTGAGCTATATTGTTGCTACCAGACGCTTAGTATTTACCGCTCGGAAAAATCATCATTTCGGAGATCATCTGCTCTTTCCCTCTGGTCATAATCTCTGGAGCAGAAAGGTAGAAAATAATTTGTGAAAGCTTCACCAGTCCACGAAATTCAGAGGAGGTGGCCTTTGTGGAAAGATCTTGAGCTTACCCTAAGCCGATCGTAATGCATATTTATACCATAAACTTTTCCAAACTTTTGCTCATATAATTGTATTTCCTGGTTTGCGGATGATGTATGTTGTGCAACCACACCACGTGCACTGCACGAGAACTCGCGGATCATTTTCATTGAGCATGACGGTGCTCGAGAATATCTGTGAAAGTAACATCAAGCTGAAGGTGAAGTCCAAGGCGTTGCTTCACTCTTTAGAAGGCACGCCTTTGGAATTCAAGTACAACTAGTTATGCCATTTAAGGCAAAAAATCTATGCCTTATATTATTAGTAATTATTTCATACCTAGTTTATACAGGTTTGATTCTTTATTTTCTTCAGAACTATTTGGTGACTGGACTTGAGCTAACTTATTGGATGTTTACATTGTTTTGTTCTTCGTATTTGTTGCGTACGTTCTCAGTACTTTGTTCTAGTCATGGCACCCTTGTGCGTAATAAGTGAATTAATAAGTGAATAAATGTTTTAGCAACCGAAACAGCTCTATAGCGATATACCTTCAGTCAGCCCTGAATGTAAAAATTATGGCAATTGTCTTTGATGCTTCAAAAAAAAAAGAGCTCTACGTTATGATCAGTGATCTGACACGGTCAATAGGATAAATCTATTTGCGCCGGCTGTGGAATTTCCAAATCATTTTTTCATCTGTCGTGGATGATTTGGCTGTTCCTATTGTATTATTTTCTGCTACGTATTCTGCGTCCAAGGATGGTCCTTCAGGTAAGTTCCTTGTGGCCCTCTAGAAAGAAGTGGGTGACCATTCTTTTTGGGAGTGAGCCGGACGTGAAGCCTCTACCTAATGGATTCGGCAAAAAACGTTGTGTTTGCTTTGATATGGAGCAAGTTGAAATTTTACGAACCAAGTTTGGTAATTAATCTTGGTGACACTTCGCGCTTTCGCTTACTTCAGGAGCTAAAAAGGCAACCACAGCAGCAACCTATCCAACACCTTCTCCATTACAGGGGACCCATTCTTCTGGAAAAAGACTGCTGTCAAAAGTACAAGTTAAGCTAATGCTCACCTCAGCGAATGACAACTTTGGTAAGTGCAACCCACTTACGCCGAAGACTTTACTTGTTCAATTTTTTATAACCTAGTGATCGGGTCTCGAGACTCAACTAAAAAGCAGCAGAGGCTCTGATATGGTGTTAACTTGTGACAGCTCATTAGTAATCGCTAGGCCCACGCAGTCTTAATCATGACGATGCGGAGATGGTGATTCAAAGGCAGTGGCTCGGCAGATCTCAACTTAGTCAAATTTTCGCTTACCTGGGGTTGTTCAATACGCTGATCACGAAAACCCACTTTAGAGAGCTCGAAAACGGCGAAAACGAGCGTTTTTCAACCCGCTTCCCTTCAAAATTGGACGAGTGGAGCAAGGCTGATGACGCTGAATAGTTGCGGGACCCAATGATTATAGCACTGCGGCAGGTAGCCTCCAAAAAAGAAGGAAGTTGCCAACTCGAACGGGTGCGTGTAAGATTGACTTGCGCGTGTAAATTTGAGAGCGATTTTCTCGACAGGGAAGGCATGCTGTGCAACCGGGATTGCACTGTTTTCATTCATGGACGATGAACCTACTGCATTAAGATCCTGGGTCGTCAAGTTTTGCCGATCCACTGCCTTCAAGTTCGAGGCCTGGCGCGTGAACCCGAATTCCTAGCGCGCAAGACATTCGAGGGTTTAAATAACCTCGCGAAATCCCGGTGTATGTCGAAAGGCGCACATTTCGGTAATCGTCACTGTCAGGCTGGATCGGTATTCCACAAAGAAAAGGTTTCAGGCTACAAAACTTTTGTCATTGTATCAGAAAGCGTAACCGAGGATCATGCACTTGAAATTCGAGACAAACAGGAAAAATCTAAACTCATTTCTTGCTTCACTTGATTAGGGGCAGCTGATCAATGCGCGCCATTCGACCGTCTCCCGCGAAATCCAAAATCAGTCGGAACGACGAGTGCCTAGTGATGAGCCATCACTATTTAGAGTCTTTGCTACTCTCGGTCACTGGGGTCAGGTCGAGTACGGGTCATCAGGTAACTCTGAAAAGCTTGGTTGTACAGTTTATGGCATAAGTGGTGCATCCACTGAAGATGTCAACTGTTGGTAAGCATTAGTTTGATCTTGTGCTGTGTTTGCACTCTTCCTTTTCCGAAAGGAATCTTTCTTTGTAATCGAGGTTTCGATCGGAAAGGTTGCATGCAGTCTGACCTTCCAGACACTGAGGAGGCGTAGAACCGGAATGTCAGTCTGGGCAATAAATCTGTACCTATGTTGTTTATCATTTTGAAATAAAACACTCATAACATACCCAACGATGCTAAGAAGCAATGTTCATCGCATGGAATATCACGGGCGATGTACCAACAAGCTCTATCCGACTGGTGAAATAAACACTCTTTTGAGT